TGAAGCTGAGACTCCAATACTTTGGCCATCACATGAAAAGAGAAGGCTCCCTGGAAAAGACCCTGATGTTGGGAAAGTGTGAAGGCAAGAGAAGGGCACGACAGAGGACGAGATGGTTGGACAGTGTCATCGAAGCTACCAACATGAATTTGACCCAACTCCGGGAGGCAGTGGAAGTCAGGGTGACCTGGTGTGCTCTGCTCCATGGGGTCACAAAGAGTCGGACACAACCTAACAACTAAATAACAACAACATCTAATTGTTTCATGAGATCTCAGCGGCATCTGATGGGGCCACTGTGAGATACAGGAAGCTGGACTAGATGGGCCCATGGCCTGATCCAGCAGGGCTCTTATGAATATAACAACGTTCCTTTTACACAATAATATAACAGCTTGTAATGCCAGCATTTTTTTCCATGAAACCAGTAATGTTTAAGCATTTTTTCACATTGCATTCGAGCTGGGGCAAAGAATATGTTTCAGGGATATTTTTAAGTGGTTATTTTTCATGTCTAGACAAGGGAAATAACAAAGAAAACCAATCTGCAAACTACAGGAAAGTTCCTGTTATAAAAGACATTTTCAGCAGTTAAGGAACTGCAACTTCTAATGGCAAGCTATCTGTAATTGCACTATTATAACAAGTAATGTAACAACTTGCCATTAAAATTGTGAAACATTGAAAAGTTATTGTGTGTGTTCCACTGGAGTTATACAATGAGGCACTTTTAAAAAATGAATCCCCAAGCTCTGTAAAAGCTTTTGAAGAGTTAGGTATCACATGCTAGAGCATGTGGTACTCTTATGTGGACCTCTGCGGTTCAAGGGGAGGGGAGAAGACCACATAAATGCTACATTTTTTTCTACACCAAACTAGTAAATTCTGAATGTGAATCCAGTTTAGAATCTATTAAAGTAATCAGAAAATACTTCTTTTGTTCACTGAATACCAAATTTTCCAAAGCAAATACTTAGCTGTACCTTAGAAACTTGAGCACATCGACACAAAGTAATTATGTCCAAAAAGGAAAATATTCTGTAAGAAAGGAGGGGAAAAGTAAAGCTATGATTCAACAATCCAGTGTAACAAACTCATGTTAACATACTAATTTAAGCTAATAATGTACACATCATTAGGCTAGCTCAAAATGCCTAACAAACTATTTAAGAAGCAGCAAGCGACAAGAACTTTGCTCACTTATCTTTGCATATAAGTACACACAATTATATAGTGGGATATATTGCAAAAGACAAGAACATGTATACAAAATATAGGCCAAAGTCCTATTGCTTAACTGTGCCTAGAAAAGGCATATGGAGTAATTTTCAGTGGCTCCTTCTGGCAATCAATGATTTTTCAGGAGTGTGGCAAAATATCTGGTACACACATGCCTGAGAATCCCAGCAGGGATTGATTAATTACCAGCAAAAAGCCACTGAAAAGTTACGCTTTTTGCCTTCTGTAGGTGTAAATTACACAAAAGAATTTTAGCCACAGATTTCTTTCTTAAAATCCTATATATGAATACAGTTCTCACCTTTTAGAGTTTTCTATTCCGATGCATCTGAAAATAATAAAACTACTACTGAAGAAGAGAGTACTGGGCACTCTTGAGTGAGTCAGGATCCTTCTACCCATTTATATTGTTCTGACTGGTTAAGAGAGCTAGCCAAGATCCTGATGCAAAACCCAGCAGAAAATCTGAGAAGGGAATCTGTGACTCCACATGTCAGACTGTAGTTCTTATGGGCCTTAGCAAAAAACACCTTAAGGCCAAATTTCCTCACCTCCATTCTAAACTGAGGCTACCTTGACTCCAATACTTTTTTACAACGCAGACAAAAATCACATTGCATAGAAACACGTGTGGAAAACAAACTTACAGTGGCTTCTTGCTACTAAGTAACAATTCCCCACTTGGATTTTCTCGCACATGCCACCCAGTAGGTTGGCATATGCCCTAAAATACAAGCAGGAGTTTGTTAACTGCCAGTGAAAAGCTGTTGCAGGTTACACCACTTGCCTTCCATAGGTTTAACTACGCAACAAGATTCTGACTCTTCAAATACCTCATCAATCATTAAAAGGTATAATTTTATTACATTTATTTATTGTATTAACATACCACTCTTCTTTTAGGGACAACCATATCAGATTGTCATTGAGAAGTGATTTGAATCTGGTGTCTACAGTTTCAGTATAACTTTCTTAACCATTATGCTAACTTTTTACAATCTTTTTCTCAAAAAAGAAATTATATTATTTTGTTGCATAGTTCTGGCAGGGGGCGGTTCCAGAGGCTAGCAAAATTATCTGCTGCTCATCATTATACCCACAGCTGTTGAGCTGACTGCAGACAATTCGGATTAACAAAATTATATGAAAATGAAAGCATAGTGCTACTGATCTTTTCAAAGTTAGAATTTCTTTTTTTGCTCTATGATGGCTTTTTGAACTTTAAAAGGGAAATAATGCCAAGCAAACAAGGTTCCCTCTGGGCACACATGTGGGCGCATGCGACTCCACTTCCCTCTGTACAGCCCTCTTTCTTCTATGTGCAGTGATCATGTTTAACTCCTTTGGTTCCAGTCGCAATGGAACCCTGCACACGGATGGGGGAGTGGAGTCGCGTGCACACACTGGGGTGAAGTCATGCGCAAGAAAGATGAAGCCCCACCCAGCAGGGCTGAATATTAGAGGGTAGAAGTATGGAGATTTCATATATAACTGCTAATTATATCAATAGTTCCTAATTACCATAAATGCAAGATGAATTGCTTTTCATTGTTCATGTACTTAAAGAATTACAGTGGTGCCCCGCTTGACAACAATAATCAGTCCCAGCAAAATCTCTGTAGAGCGAAATTGTTGTCAAGCGGAAAAAAACCCCACTGAAATGCATTGAAAACCAGTCAATGTGTTCCAATGGGGGAAATACCTCACCGTCCAGCGAAGGTACTCCATAGGGTGGCCATTTTCCGGTGCCTGCTTGTGAAGAATCCACCCTGAACACAGCGGGGAGCCATTTTGCACAGTGGGGAGCCATTTTGAAAACTCGACAACCAGCTGTTTTTGATCCCGTCAAGTGAAAAAAACCCTTTGAATCATCGTTTTGCGATTGCAATAGCGATCACAAAAAACTCATCATAAAGCAGATTCATCACTGACTGGGGTAATCGTCAAGCGGGGCACCACTGTATCTCTAAACTTCATGCTGAAACATTTTACAACAAACACTCTTACATTAACTATTCTAAACCTCAAACGTCAAATCTGTATCATTTATTCTACAAGAACTTTCAGGTTACAATTCAAAATTACCTTAACAGAAGTTCTTTAGGTAATTTTTTGTTAATCAGGCCTTCTTCATCATTTGAGAATACCTAAGAAAATAAAAAGAAACCACTCAGAATTTTGCATAACAGTCATGCAAATCAAGAAGACAGTGTCACACGTGGTGGATTTAAAGCATTGATATAAATCAAAGTTCCTAGTTTGAAATAATTTCCTGAACAAGAAAGCATGCTGTTTCAAGACATATTGGAATGAATCCAAAGCACAAGAAAAACAGCTGCTAACACTGTTTAACAACACTTCTCCAGGAGCATGTGAAAGAATTCGCAGTGTACGATATGATTTCTATAGCATTTCTCATATTTCCAGGAAGCCCTTGTAATAACAGAATATTTTTCAAACTTAATTTATCCTTTTCTCTCTAGCAACACTTTCTAAAATGTAGTATGACTTCACAATCACTAGAGGAAATTCTCAAAAGATTTAGATTAAATTTTGATCCATATATCTTTCAGATTCAGGTTCTCATTCAAAGCACCCTTGCTCTCTCACTCTGCATGCTATGCCTTCTTTCACTGTATATTTCAGCAAATATTTTATAGTCCTTGGTGGGCCACGCTCTTAAAACAACAGCCTACAGGTCTGTATGTCCCTTCTGTCTGGGAACTAAAGACTTTGAGTAACTTTAAAATTTTTCTGGCACTTTCCCAAGAAAACCAGAATCTCACGCCTCTGCTTTCTCAGCCAAGCCTTCCAGACACAAGTCGTTTCAGTGGGTACAGCCAATAAAAAAGGATCCAATTTGGGGGTTCTCTAAGGTGGCATGTATCAAAAGACTGGGAAAACAGGGGGGTCATGGTTTCTGTTGCTCTTCCAAAAAACCAAGGCTTTGTGGTTTCTGTCAAACACAAGTTGACCAGGAGAAGGGGGAGAAAGTGCCTACTATTAATTTGAAGACAGTAATCACTTGCGCCTTATCTCAGTAAGGATGGAAATTTCAAGGCCAGACAGAGTTCACTCCTTCGTACAAAGTTAATTAGGAAGAACAATTTCAGCTGAGTGAGGGAAGTGGGGGAGAAGTTAGTTTCTTCTTTAGGAACATTTAGGGAAACATGATACTTGATTGGTGAATTTTCTGGAAGGATCTGGAAACTGGAATGTTAGCCTAGTTATCTCTTAGGAGAATGCTTTGTTCATCTGCTGCTCTACTACATGACTTGTACTCTGTATGTGCTCCGAAACTATAATGAAGCTATGCCAAGAGATTTTGACATAAGTTAGTTAGCTTTGTTACTTATTTATGGGATGTTTCTGGAATTGTTGTTGGCCCAAACTCCCTCTCTCTCTCTCTCTCTCCCTCCCTCCCTCCCTCTCTCTCTCCCTACTTTGCAGGACTGGCATAAGAATCAAAGCACTTAACCTTGTGAATTTTTGGCAACTTCCTAGAAGTGCTGCTTAGTCCACATGTATTAAGGTGTTGAAAGGCTACCAGGGAGGAAGATTTCCTCCAGTAGTCAGCACATTTGGCCTTTCTGGATTTTACCCACACCAGGAAAGTCAGAGTAGTATAGCTGAGTGGTCAATGTGGGCTTCTCTGACCTGGCATAATCTTGATAGCAATGTACCATATTATTCCCGTTCTGCCCGATATCACAAAAAGTTACCACCACCTACATTCTAGTACTGTTCTCTCAACCGTATTTGCTTTCACTTCTAATTTTTACAGGTTTTTATGTTTCTAATCACCAACTTAAGCAATTCACTTCAGTTCAATCTCCACACGTGGCACTTTGCTCATATAGTTTTATATTAGTATTAACTTTGTGTTCAAGGTGGGCATGGCTCAGAAAAGTGGTGATTCATTTTGATCCATGATTCATCGGATTTAAATTTTTATTCTTTTCAGTGGGGGCAGGATTTTGGGTAAGGTAATTTGGGGTTGGGGGAGTAGGTATGGATAAGGAAAGGGTAAAATTCCAGAGAGTGAGACAGTGCATTTAACTCATACAATTATACTAGAAAGAGAGATAAAAAGAAAAAAATGCAGTATTACCATATTTACTAATCTATCTTTCAAAATTTTCAGTATTACCATATTTACTAATCTATCTTTTCCCTAGTTGGACCTTCACATTTTTCTTTCGTCTATGCTTTCCAGGCTATTTTTTGAATCTAATTATGAAACTATTTCCTAAATATCCACCAAACATAATAAAAGTCTCCTGTGTTTTATGTTTCCCACACTATTTGAAAACATTTTATATTGTTTTTTAAAGTTTTGTTGCCATTATGTACCATCAGTAAATCATATATCATCTATAAAACATCTACATTTTCTTTAACAGTTACTGATTTTTGATCATAAACATTCCTTTACCATTTTATTCCATTATATCCTACAGTTTTTAACAATTTTACTACTGTCAGTCCATTTTTATTGTTAAGGTTTTCTTTCCTCCTGGATCTTCTTGTTTCTATAGTACACTTTCCTTTAGAGCTTCTCTCTTGCTCTTCTGTTCTAGTCAAGCTTCTTTGTGTCTCTGGTCTTGATGATTCATTGGATTTCTCCTCTTCTCGTTTCTCATCTGCTTTTTTCTCCTTTTTTTCTGCCCAGTCACTTCTCCTTTGTTTTCATAAAATCTTCTGCCTTCCTTTTTGAGTTAATATAACTCTGTTCATGGAATTCAAAGAAGACACCTTCAGGCACCAACCACTTACAGTGGGGTCTTGACTTGAGAACTTAATCCATATTGGAAGGTGGTTCTCAAGTCAAAAAGTTCTCAGGTCAAATCTGCATTTCCCATAGGAATGCATTGAAAACCATTTGATCTGTATCTGCTCTTTTCCGTCCATAGAAACTAATGGGCAGCTGCTATTCTGCCTTCGACCACTAGAGGGGGATATTTTGTTTCTTTTTTTCTTAGGTCAAGAAAGGTTCAGGGAAGGCAGGGAAAATACAGTCCAGGCAGTACAGTACCAGGCAGTCTGAAGACTGTCTCCCAATCCACTCTCTAAACGCTGGGAGGAGTGAGGAAGCAGACAGGCACCCTTTTCACTGGCCAACAGTTAACTGAAAGTTCAAATTTTGCACTTTCCCTGCCTCCCACGTGGTTTTTTTCAGTTCTTAACTCAAATCTAAGTATGTAAGTCAAGTCAATATTTTCCTATGAGAGTGGTTCTTAAGTCAAAATGTTCTTAACTCAAGCCGTTCTTAAGTCAAGACCCCACTGTATACATAATTGAACTTGATTTCAGGAGGGATGTCAGCTCCGTATATTGTCTCCTTTTCTGTCTTATTTACCTCAGAATATATTTCAGTATCTTAATTTCTTTAGATTTTCTATTAAGTTATTTGCCTTGTATATTTCTCAGAACTTTATCTTGAAATATCTTTCTCATAAATTTAGCATGAATTTCTCTGGGGAGATTTTTATTCCTGGTGTATACTATACTGCATTAATTCTTCATACGGTGTGTATATTTTGTTGAACATTCTCTGGTTGCATCTCTATGAGCAATGCTAAATAGGTAGTAATCACTTGTGCTGTATCTTTTCCTTTTTGTTCTGGTAGATTCTGAAATCTAACTGCGGCATTGGTTCTTTCCATTTGTAGATTTAACCATTTCATCTTGCTTGCTTTCCTGTTTTAGGTCTCCCATCTCTGTAAAAAAGGTTTCCAGTCTTGCTTCTGTTTTTTTTTTTTTTTTTTTGATGTCTCACCTATTCTGGCTATTTGTTTTTTATTTTCTGTAATTTGATTTTTAATATCATTCATTTGCATCCCTAAATCTTTCATTTGAACACATAGCTGAGCTGTTCTTCCTTGTATTTGCTGTAGCACTGTTGATAATATATCTTGAATATTCTGTTGCCAGTCCTTAAATGACTCTTGCCTCAATAATCTACTGAGATTTTGTGCTGATGAGCCTCTCTGAGTTCTTTCTTTCTATCGTTTGTCACCATATTGTTTTTTCCCTTCTTCTTAAGTAAATAGGGGATGTTGTTTAAATTTTTTATCAGCGGATGTTGCTGTAACCTTACTTTCTTTTCTCAGTCTTATTTACATGTCTGATTCAAGAAGGGGGTGGAGTTTCCTTCCAGGTATAAAGTTCTGTCGCCAAATCAAAATAATAAAATTTTAAAAGAATTGCAGTATTTCGAAGTAAGTAGGATTTAATATCACTATGTCAGATAGTCACGGGAATGAGGTGGTTATCTTAAATTGCTCTACTTTTGTGGCAAGTTATTTTCTCCCCATTCTCCCTTTCTCTCTTTTCTCCTCTTGTTCACTCGATCCAAGCTTGGGGAGGGGGAATTCTCTTCTACCATGACAGTAAGATTTTTTTTTTAAGGTAAAGTGCATTTGGTGACCCTTTATATTCTCATATCTTTGTAGTTATTTGGGTCCATGGAGATTTTCCCTGCATGCAAAAATATTTTAACGTACTCAGAGTCTCTGGTTGAGATATTTCCAACATCCTTTTGCATTATCTCACTCTCGGCTTGGGATGACATAACGTGAGCCCTTTGTTCGGGGAAACAAGTAGGGGCCACGTGGTAAATATCACAAGTGGTGTCCAGCGGCAGGATACGAAAAGATTCCAGTAAAGCCAAAGTTTAAAATGAATTTTTCTGAGTCAAGAGTGCCTTTTAGTCAGAGGTCTGTAATGAAGAAGTGGGTGACTCACTAGAGTTTTTGTGGAAAAGCTTAGTGGCGGGGCTTCTGAACGCAGATCTTGGGGGGACTAAAGATAGGGAATGACTCTGAGAGAAAAATTCTGTTTGAGGTTACCTCAGGATTTGAATAGACCCAGTGGGCTATTTTAGAATCCAAGGCTCCGAGAGTTAAGAAAGCGCTTGTAGAGAAAAAGTGGAAGCCGGGGTCATAACAGGCCTGATGTGATAGGAACAAGAAGAGGCTTGAAAGAAATCAGAATTTGTTTTGTGTCTGGAGGCAAGAGGATTGTCTCAGACTAAGGAACATCCTGACTGTCGTAGTGCCAGAAAAATGTAGCCATCTTTAGCTGCCGAGGGAGAGGTACATAGTATCTCAGAAAGTATTGTTAAAAGAGCCTGACTATCTCTGCA